GGCTGAGGACACCCCATTTTGGGCTGCTTTCTGTCCCCCAGTCTTGGCACCACTGGAAAAAGGCTGCAGTGGAGTCCATTGGAGGTGGGCTCCATGGATCACATGGCCCCACAGACAGCAACACTGCCTTGCAAGGCTTGCTGACAGCAGCAGCCACAGGACAGGGCTGGTCCTGCTGGGGACTCACCATCTTCATGGGGTGGGAGAGCACCACGCCGTAGAGGCGGATGAGGTTCTTGTGGTCCAGCGAGTGCATGGCATTCACCTCGCGGATGAAGTCATCCAGCACCTCTGGCTGGCTCAGCACATCCGTCTTCAGACACTTCACAGCCACGTTGAGCTACAGCCAAGAGAAGGGGTGAGCCATGGAATAGGAACAACACCTTCCTGGGGGTGTCCCTGTGCCTAGACCTCCCACCACCAGCACAGGGTTTTGCACAGGCTCGTGCCCCTCACCGTCTTGCCAGCAGGTGTGCACCACTCTCCACGACGCACAACACCGAAGGAGCCATCACCCAACTTCTCGAAAAGCGAGAGGTCCCGCTCCCTGATGAGGCAGGTGAGGGAGTGCTGACCCCCTGCGTCCGGGGGTGGTGGTGTTGGGGGCTTGCGGAAGGTGCTGTGGGGCTGAGGAGGCAGCTCTGAGTCAGGGCGCTTCCCGCTGAACACCTGCAGCATGCAAATGGGCAAGATGTGGGCTTGGAGACACCCATAGGTCTTCCCTCCCATCGGTGGTGGCCAGAGCCTGCCTCAGTTTCCCCTTCCCACTAGTGAGAGCTGTTGGTGCCTTGCTGGTGCCAGGCAGACTGGTCGCCCCATCCACCTCTTTGGCTCTGCACACGCTGTTCCTTCTGAAACCTACTGATGACCCCACGTGGTGTTTCCCCAGCGGGCGGCGTGCTGAGCAGCACTTCTAGATGGATGGAGGAGTACTGCCCTCCAGCAGCCAGAGGTCCCAGGCGCTCCTCGGCCAGGCTGTGGGCACACGATGTGCCTGGGCACCGTTCCAAGAGAAACCTCCAGCGCAGTGACACATCCCTGCAGCAACGTGGGCCTTGCGACACGCACTGCTGCTGCCAGCTGCCCAGAGGGGTTGGGGACGGCTCTTCTCCCCACCAGCTGGCACTGGGCACGTCGCCCACGGGAAGGGGTCTGTCCTGGCTCACAGCTGGGGCAGCTGGCACCTGCATGGGGAGCGCGGGGGCCGGGGCAGGCATGTGGCTGTGGTGGGAGGTGGCATTTCTCTGCCCGGCACAAGGCTGAGTCGCCTTCTATTAAAAGCCAGGCACAGCTCGGCTCAGCCCAGATGAGTCACAGGAGGGAGAGGCCACGACCCAGCACCCAGCTGGTGAGCACACGGGCCATCTGGGGCTGTGAGGTAGGTGCCCAGGGGTGCAGCATCACAGCATCACTGTCATTAGGGAAGGGTCCCTGGATCCCCCGCCCTAGTGCTGCTGGGAGCTGAGGCAGGCAGAGGGCTGCACAGCCCACAGGGCTGGCTGAGGCTCTGCTACTAATTAGCTCTGAATAAGTTTCTTGGAAAAAGAGGCAAATCACAGGAGGGGAATGAATTTCCTGAGTGCTGATCCCAGCTGAGAAGTGACCCAAGAGCTGCGTAGGGCTGGGGCATGTTAGCCATACCTTGCTCATCCAAGATTTCCGCTTGCACATGGCTTTCCTCCGCTTCACCGCCTCCCACAGCCTCCGCTGGCCTATGGGATACAGGGACTGTCACTGACACAGGGCCCTTCTTGAGAAGAATCACCCTTCAGCCCTTGGGACCACACGTTCCTCTGGGCTCCCCAAAAGATGCAGCCACAGAAGGATACAGGGGAAGGTTGAGGGAGGAGGATGTACGCACCGGGACGCCCCATGCCAATCTTCTCCAGATCCTCATTTTTGACGTACTCGAAGTGGGACAGGCGGGTGACGTTGAGTTCGTCCCGGATGCGCAGGAAGTATTGTTGCAGCTGCAGCTCAGTCAGCAGCTCCAGCAGCCAGTCTGTGCCTTCTTCCGCCTGCATGCTACAGCTCAGCTTCTGCCACACAAGGTGCTGGGTTAGTGGGGACCCTGCACTGCTCCCCAGTGTCCCCAGGAGCCCAGCCCTATCCCACCTGTGTGCCAGAGGGGCTGGAAGCTGGGGCTGCTCCCTGTCCCAGTGGGGATGCCAGGGATACTCACGGGACTCACCTCCTGCAGAGCCCATCCTGGGCTTTCTTCCCTATCAGCAGGACCCATGGAGAAGGGCGTAAACCCCATAGTGCCCACAATCCTAATGAAACACCACCTTGTGCTATATGTACCCAGGCAGCGGTGCCAGGGATGGAGAAGAGGCAGAGCCCCAAAGCATGGCACAGATGCCCCTAACGCTGTCCCCACGCTGCATGCTGGCATCTTACAGACATAAGGGACAGTCGCACCTGGCACCAGACATGCACATGGGGCACCCCATGACTGGCCTTCAGCCACACTCCCTGTGCCCAGCTGCTGAGGGTGAAGGTGGCAGCTGTCCCCTGCAGGGACAGACACCTCAGTGCTGTCTTGGTGCCATAAGGCGGTGGCACAGGAGGGGACAGATGGAGACACATAGCTGTGAGCATGCGGGGAATGAAGGTCCCCAGGGTGTCATTATCACCTCCCCAGAGCTGTGTCAGGGCACAGGATCCCCAACACCATGGATCCTCACGTCCCCCAAGTATCCCCTTGTTGCACCACACCTCGCTGTCCCCTCTCTCCATCCCCACCATAACCGCAGCCTTCCGGGAAGGGACCTGGCTCAGCCTCCCGCCTCCAGCAGCCAGAGGGGACGTGGGAAAGCCCCCACGCCGGCCCCACAACAGGGCAGCCCTGTCCATCCTCCCCTTTCCCTGGGGAGACGACGTGGCCCCCAGCCCCCTCACCATCTGTGTCCCAGCCGCGTCACCGCCATCGCAGCCCTCGGCTAAAAATACGGCGGGCACGGGGCACGCGGGGGCACTGCGGCCGAAGGAGCCGCCAGCTCACAGCACGGGGCCATTCGCGGCACCGGGGGGTGACGGCCACTTACTCGGTAGACGCGGAAGCGGGCGAGGAAGGGGAAGGAACGGCGCAGAGTCTCGAAGCGTCGCATCCTGTTTGGCTGCAGCCTCGGCCCAATGTGCTCAGGGTACCCCTGCGGGTGCCAGCGTCCCTTGGGCACGGCGAACCCAGCAGAGCCAGGGGACCTACGGGGGTGTCAGCCCGGCTGGGCGACGGCTTGCTGAATGCCACCCGGGTACGGCAACCCCACACATCCCACAGCAGGCGCAGAGGGCTCGGGGCATCCCTGCTGCACAGGGGCCGGCAGCGGGACGCAGCGCTGTGCTTCTCCTCCTCCTGCTTCCGTCGTGCCCTCCTTCCCGGCCGTCCTGCCCTCCCCTTCCCAAACGCAATGGGGTTGGAGCCGCGGCGTCGGCGCTGTCCCGATCGGTGCCCACGGGTTCGCTCCCCGGCAGTGGCTGTCTGTGGGTCCTGGGGCTTCGAGCGGCCGCCCTGCCCGGCTCCTGTCCCAGGAGGGTTTATTTTAGCTGCGCGTTGGCCCGGCTCTGGGCCGTGCGCCCAGGGGGCCGGGCTCCGATCAATGTGCTGCTTTCTCTCTTGTTCGGCGGGTGCTCGGCAGCTGCACCGCCTGGGAGAGCGGACCCCGGCTCCCATTGCCATGGAAACTCGCTCCGGCCTTGGGAAAAGCTCCCAGGCCTCAGTTTCCCCCCTCAGGAAGCAAGGCGGGAGGGGGGACATCCGGCCCTGCGCTCCCAAAGGGGAGGCGGTGGGCATGAAGCCAGGGTAATGTGCACCCGGTGCCGCTGCCCCACGAGCCACAAGGGACAGTGGGTGTGCTGCCAGCCCCATAAACCCACAGGTTGCCAGACCCTGTGGGGTGCTGGGGGATGTAGAGATGAACCCCTCCAAAACAACCGGTGTGCCAAGGTGACGTGGGACAGGCAGCTCTTGCTGCATTGTGGCCATGCCCAAAGAGCTTCCGCCGTGGTTTCCAGTGCCGAGATCCCGGCTGGCACCCGGCACAACGGCCCCATTGAGCAGGGACAGACGGGCACAGTGCCCTCGGCACCAAGCTCTGCCACGCGCCAGCTCTCTGCCCTGGGGACACCGTGGGTGTGGGGGTTCCCTGTCCCACTGTGCAGCCTCCAGCAACCTCTGGTACCCCCAAATCCCCTGGACAGGGCTGCCCAGCTGCATTACAGCTGTGCACACCGTGCTTCAGTTCCCCTCCTCGTAATGAGCCCAAGAGCACAGGGCCAACACCACCACCTCAGCCCTCAGTACCCCAGTGGGGTGCGAGCCCCCAGAAGCTGTGGGGCACAAACCACAGCTCCCACCACCCAAGGAGACAGCAAAGAGCCACGGCACAGGGGCACGGGGATGGATGGCACAGGTACCCACGCACACACCTGCAGCGCTGGGATGCACCCTACGTGCACGCACGCTCCTGCACGGGCGGTGACGGCTCTCACGTGCACCCCAGGACCACACGCACGCAATCCTGCAACCACACGCACCACGCACACACCCCGACACGTGCACGACCGCAACCACACCTCCTTCTCCCCTTCCTTGCACTCAAACACATCACCTCCGCGCACCCCTCCCCACCCCCTGCAGCTACCGCCGTGCCCGGGCGCACGTGCACCAACACCCCGAGCACCAACAGCCCACCACCCTCTCCGACTGACGCACGTCTGGCTGTGCGCCCGCACACCGCTCCTGGGCACCGCGGCCATACACCCACGGCACCGCGCAACGTCACGGCTCTGCCCACGGGCTCAGTCAGCCGCGGGCGGCACACGCAGCGCCAGTGTGACGCACGCCCCCCCGAGGTGACACGCGGGGGTGCACACACACATCCCGACCCTCCGCCGGACCCTTTCCCCTTTCCCGGACCCTACACCCCTCGCTCCCAGATGGGGAAACTGAGGCGCGGTACGCGAGTGGCACCAACACGCAGCCAACCCCTTTTGGGGGCGAGGGGGGGGGGGGGGGGAAGGAACAGCCCCGATTTGCGCAGGGTGACCCCAGGAAGGGGACACGGGTCCATGCCGCTGCAGATGGCCATCTGCGTGGCTGCCAGCCACCTGTGCTGGGCACCGTGCCCATCCTGCGGTAGCCCCTCTGTGCCCAACGCCGTGCCAGCGCCAGCTGAGCCAGGCTCACACCGTGCCACCAAGAGGGGACAGTGCACGCCTGTGTGAGAACACCTGGGTCCACATCCCAGCACCGTCCCCCAGTAATACAATTCCTCCCCCACCCCCATGCACTGCGCCTCAGTTTCTCCACGCATCAGAGAAGGAGTGCAGCCACGCAGTTTGGCTGCTGTCCCCATGCCAATTCATGGGGAGATGCCATGCAAGGGGGCATCACCGTGAGACCCCTACGCCATGCCAGCCTCGAACCCACAAGCACCCTGGGGACGCCATGGGGGCCGTGCCACCGTCCCCCCATCTTCCCCCGCACTGACCCGCCGGCACGCCATGCCCAGAGTGACGTCCTGCTGGGGAGGCAGCCCCGGGCGACTGCTGCCCATCCGTGGGGCTCGCAGTCCGCTGCTGTCCGACAGGCTGTGGGGCAGGGCGGGCAGCATCTCCTCCTCCTCCTCGGCGCTGCTCAGGCGCTGGTAGTCACATCTCTCGCCCATGGCAGCGGCGGCGGGTGGGGGGCTCTGCGCCTGCCTGGGGGCGGCGAGGGTTGGAGCCGGGCACGGGATCACATGGCAGAAAGTTGCTGCAGTTCCGGAAAACAGCGAGAGGGTGAAGGTGACCGCGGTGATGGAGGGGAAGAGGGAGGGGGGAGGATGGATGCAGAGGGGAGGGGGAAAAGAGAACGGGGAGCCCCCAGGGTACCCGTCCTCACCGTGGCACTGCTGTTCTCCTCCCAGCTCCGCAGCCTGCGTGCCCCCCCCGGTACCCGAGCGTGGAGGCGGGGGCATCGGCGGTGGCATCACCGCAGCCTCCGTCTCCCCCCGGCTGGCACTGCGCAGCCCTCGTCAGGCAGAGGGGAGCAATGGGGAGCACCACCCGGCGGGGTGGGAGCTATGGAGGTCCCGTGCCTATCCCCGGAGCCGGGGAGGGGGGGGGGGGGGGGCCGTAGCATCCCCAGCATCCCTCCTGCTGTGGGAGGAGGGGGAAGGGATGCGCGGGGAAGATGGCTGCTGCGCAGCACTGGCGCAAAGCTCAGCAGGGCAGGGAGCGTAGCCAGGCCCTAGTGTGATGAGGGAGCATGCGGCAAGGATGCACTCTGTGATAGATATCCCACCCCTAGCGCAGAGCTGAGGGGTGGCCCTGAGATGCTGCCCGTGCCTGCAGCCCTCCAACATCACATGCAGTCACAGCAGGAGCGAGCGGCGCTGTGTCACCCCCCCCGGATGGGGACCTGTCATTATCTCATCAGAACCCCCCAGATGCAGGGGGACTTACAGGGGGCTGAGTCAGAGCCACAAGACAGGGAGGAGGCAGGGCCTGGAGCTCTGCAGCCCCCCTACACCTGTCTGTACTTGGGGCATCATACAGCCCCAAGGACCAAAGGGCTCTCGCTGCCACCACTGCACGGCACAACGCCCCACCCCATCTCCTGGTGCCAATGCCATAGGGCATGACACCCCATTCTACATCCCATTTTGTCCCCTAGAAACCTCTTCCCCCAGTGACCCCCCCACAGCTTCTCCCTTCCCATCCTTTTGCCCCCTCCCCCCTCCCCCCATTCACCCGCAGCCCCAGCTAAGCTGCAAGATGACCCCACGGTCCCAGTGCAGGGGGCACAAGCCCATCCTGCCCCCACCCCCCCAGCACACCCTATACCCAGTGGGGCATTGGCCTCTCGGCGGCCCCTCCTGCCATACCACAGAGGTGAGCTCAGCACCAAGCTGAGCCCGCGGGCGCGGGGCGTGGGAGCAACAGCCACCTCCGCGCGCGGCCCCGCCGGCGTCACCGCTGTGACTGATGCACGTGCTATGCCACCTTCCTGCTGGCCCCAGCCACACCGCCCGTACACCCCCCACCAGAAGAACTTTCACCCAGTGCTGGTGGAGCAATGCTGCAGGGTCTGTGCGCTGTCCCCACAACCCAGGGTCACTCGACACAGCCGGGCCAGGCTATGTGCATGGCACGAACCCTTAAATGCAGCGTTGGGAACCAAACCCCAATTGTGGGTTGTGAACCGAAACCCAAACCCAGCACCCACAGACCAAACTCCCAAAGCAAGAGCAATCTGGAGCAGGTGCACAGCATCACCCCAGGGGGTTCCCACCAAAACCACGGTCACTAAGCTACCTGTGGCAGCGACAGTCACACTGACCACAAAGTGTCCTCCCCACCGCAGGACACCAGACTTCCCCATCACTCCAGGCAAGCCAGCGTCACCCTTGTCCCCACATCCCTCTTGATGTCCCCAAGGAGCAAGGCAGCAGCATCCCCCACACCCACTCCATCTCCCTGCGGAGCTCTGAGGCAGGGGTTCCCCACTCACCTCCAGCACAGCACATCACCCCGCTCACTGTCACATCAGGGCTGGGGCTCACCACCCTGCCTGCCTCCTTCCTGACAGCGGTGTCGCCTGGAAGTGATGTCACCGACTCCAGCAGTGGCACAAGTGGCTGTGCTCCGAGCTGGTTTGCTCAGCCCTGGCGGGGCCCCGGGGGTGGCCCCAAATGGCAGTGACAACACTCAGCAGGCTGGCTGCTCCAGTGCAGCCACGCGCGCACACACACACACACACACACATAGGGACACCTGCAGGATGCTGCTGCCCCACTTCCCCGTTGTGCTGCCTCATGTCCCCTCCGAATCCCAGCGCGGTGTCCCCATACCGATGCGTGTTCTGCCTTCCTTGCTGCTGGCACCTGGCATGGCTCGCTGGGACATCTAAGAGGGCTGGTACGGAGCGATGCTGACACCCGTGGTGGGGGTGGGCGGCGAGGCCGGCTCACTGGGTGCCCCTGTGCCGGGGGCTCGGTGCCACTGGAGCCCAGCATCATGGTTTGGTTCTGCCCCGGTGCATCTCCTCCTCTCTGTGCAGCCATCAGCCCTTGGACGCGTCCACAGCCCAGCAGTGCCCCCCCCAACAAAGCCCAGTGCAACCCCAATCCTCTCCCTAAGCCTCTTTCCTCTACTAAATCCGCTCCGTATGTCAGGTCGCAGCCTATCGCTCACAGGAGCTGTTCCCCATCTCCACGCTCACCATAGGACCCAGTCCTGGTCTGGAATGCATCCCCAGGGTGGTGGGAATACGGTGAACTGGGTGCACGGGGATTTGTGACCCAATCTCATCCCTGGCTCTGTTTCCTCTGGTTGGTTTCAGCCCACCTGGCTGCATTTTGGCACAAAAAGGCAGGAGAGGCACAGAACAGCAGCCAGGCAAAGAGGCAAGGACACATGCATGAACTGTGGGTGCCTCCAGCAAAGCAGCCCCTCAGGACCCACCCGGAGCCCCATGTCCAGAGCAGTGCCAGAGAGCATGTGGCACAGTCCAGCACTGCCACACGATGGCACTGGGCTTGGGATCACTGAGCATCACCGCCCCAGGGATTGAGCCACCAAGAGACCCCCCTGCAACTGGGCACCCCAACGCAACACCAATCTGTGCCTGGCAGCCCCTGCACTCCTCTTACCTGAACCAGGCGTGCAGCTCGGGTCCGTTGGCAGCGCCACTCTGTGCCCCAGGGTCCCCACGAGCCCAGCGGTGACACAGAGGTGGCACAGTGTCACGGCTTCACCCACGCAGCCATGGGGGTTGCAGAGCTCTGGTCACACTGCCCATAGGGTGCCCTGGGGAAGGAGAGGTCAAGATGGGATCCTGACAGCCCCACATCTGCCCACTCTAGAACCAAATCCAGGGGCAGCACCAAAATGCCCACCCACAGCTTGCTGGCCATGGAGACGTTTCTACCTGGGGGCACACTGGCCATGGAGCAACAACCTCATGCACAGGGGTTCTGTGTACCCACAGTCCTTCCATCCCCAGCATGAGTACAGCACCTGGGCATGTCCAGGAACCCCAAATCTGTGCCCATGTGCCCAGAGCTGGGAAGGGGCCTCAGTGCCAAGCAGAGCAGCACCTTGGCCAGACCACGGAGTACCTGGCTACTCATTAGCACTAATTGGCGGCAGCCTAATGGGCCAGGCAGCAGAGTGAGCAGTGCCCCCTGGCGCTGCTCAGTCAGTGCAGGATCGCAGTCAGCCCAGAGCACAGCTGGAGGGGGGCAACTGGGCACTCCACGGGGCACCTAGGGAAGCCTCTGCTCCTTGCATTAGGTTGGGACCGAGAGGGACACTGGGGACAGAGACAGCCCTACACTCTGCCCCAAAATCCTGTACACCCACACCAAGGGCTGCCTCCACCCCAAAGAAGCACTTCCCTCGGCTGCAGCAGGGGACGGAGTCGCATGGTCTCGCCTGCTCCCGCGGCACCACACCTGCAGGAACCGGTGGTGCAGGAGGTGCAGCCGCCCCATCCCCTGCATGCACAGCCCCATCCCCTGCAGGCATGGCCTCCCCAGCACCACTGCCCCCCAGCTCTCCTCCATCTGCAGCTGCTGCACCATCCCAGTGCCGCGGGGTAAGGGCTCTGCCCCAGCCTGGGTGCTGCCGGGGGCTGGAGGAAGGGAAGGAAAGCTTTTCCCCGTGCTTTAAGGAGGGAGGGTGTACTGGGGGCAAAGCCCTCTCCAGTCACAAACCCAATCTGCTTTGAGGAAGGTGCATGAGAGCGCTGTTTCTCAGAGCATCCCTGAAATACATCAGCGGATGACGCTCTCCTGGAACATCCACCTGCAAATCAGAGACAAACTCAGTGGCCCTGGACAGGATGGGGCTCGTGACACCCCCACCCACAGTGCCCCAAGGACAAGCACCCAGCTGACCCCCTCCCAGTGAGATCCCACATGGCTCAGCCACAGGGAACCTGAGAGCCCACACCTTCCCACCGTGCCCATACCCCAGGGGCTTCCCAGGGGAAACTGAGTCACAGCCACCACCCCCATGCCCAGCCCCAGGCAGCAGCAGGAGTGGAGCGGGGGCACTGGTGGCCCCAAGCTGTTCCCATGCAGTCCCACCGGCACCAGGCCAGTGAACACCAAGCTAACAAGGCCTCAGGTGGCTCGAGGGGCTACAAACAGGTTGTGCAGCCCAAGCCCCCAACATGCACCCCGAGGAGGGTTCATACGGGGCTACGGCTGCTCGCTGTCATCTGTGGGGTGGGCTATATCACGGACTCTTTTAACAAAGAGAGTGCCACTCCTGCACGTCAAGGTGCTACTTTGCTCAGGCTGCAGCTTCAGCAGGGTTTTACCAAAGTAGATGCCTTTTCCCACTTGCTTTGTACCAAACCAGCCCAGCAAGGGTGCGCCTATGGGAACCCCACAGGAGGAGACCCGCGGTGCCCGGACAGCAGGCAGGGACAGGGGCTGCGCCGGGGCGGCTCCGCAAAGGTGAGCGCGTGGGGAAGCGCAGCGCCGGGCTGTGTCTCAGCCTGCCCTGGGTGCTGCGTGGCCCCAGGGAACCCCGTGCCCGGGGTCACCGCGTCTGGGCCAAGGGAGCGGGGCGACCGAGTGCCCCTTCGGGATAGCAGGCCGGGCAGGGTCCTCTCAGCGAGGCACCGTCGGGATTAAGTTTTACAGCACTTAAAAACAAGAGGCTGAAAGCAAGCCAATGCGTTTCGAGCGCTTTAGTGGGACAAACCTGCCCCGATGTGGCTGTGCTGGGGATGGAGGGTCCCTGCGCCGCGTGACGCACCCGAGCCGGGGGCCGTGCCCCGAGCACAAGGGTCCTCTGTTCAGCGCGCACAGCCCCCAGAGCCCGGAGAGGAGTGAGAGCGGAGCGGAGCTGCGTTCGCAACGCAAACCTTCCGCGGGGCACCGCTCGCCGGAGGGGGCCGAGCGCCCGCATCCCCGCAGTGCCGCAGGGCACGGTGCCAGCGCCGCAGCACCGCCTCCACGTGCCGTGCCCGACCCCGACATCTCCACGCGCCATCCCGGAGCCCGCTCCCCACGGCCCCACGAGCGATCCCGGCCCCCAGCCCGCATCGCCCTCACCTCTCGGCTCGCGGCCTCTGGTCCCGCGCGGTGTCCCGGCTCTGCAGGCACCATGCCGGGCGGCAGGGGAGGGGAGGGGAGGAGAAGAGGGGGGATCTCCGCCCTCACACCCCGGCCTCGCGCCTCCGGGGTGGCCACGTGCCGGGGGGCTGCTCCTGCTCCCCGCGGTACCGCTCTCCCTCCTCCTGCACCCCGCGCAGCGCCTCGCCCTCCTCCTGCCGCCCCCTCCTGGCCCACCAGCGGGCTCTGCCCGGGGGGCTGCCCCCCTCCCCGCGCTGCCCGCGCTCCTGCTGCGCCCGGCGGCTCAGGCCCTGCTCCTGCCGCGCTTTGGGGCCGCGCTCCTGCACCCCTCGCCCGCCCGCCCTCCCCCGCCGCGCCCCGGGGCTGCCGCCCTCCGCGCCCCGCGCCGCCCTCCGCCCCCCGTTCCCCCACTGCTCGCGGGGTCTCCGCGCCGCCTTAACGCCCACGGCGGGGGCCGCCCGCTCTCCCCGCTCCTGCAGCCCCACCCGCACCCCCAGCGCCACCCGCTGCCACTGCCCCGGCCGCCCCGCGCCGCCCCCGGCCCCGCCGCTCTCCGCCTCCCTCTCGCCGGCCACCAGCTCCTGGCCCTGCGCTCCCAGCCCCGCTTCCTGCACGCCCTCCGCCAAACCCCCCGCTTCCTGCACCCCCGGCGCCACGCCGCCCCCTTCCTGCACCCCCGGGCTCAGCCCCCCGCCCTCCGCCACCCCCGGCCCCCGGATGGTGCCCTGCCGGCCCCGCAGCGCAGGGGGCTCCGCTCGGCAGCTCCCGGTCCCGCTCCCGCTCCCGGTCCCGGCCTCCCCTCCGCCGGGAGCTCCCGGGGCGGCGCACCGTCCGCCCGGCCCCGCTCTTAAAGGCGCCGCGCCGCCGCCTTACGTAACGGCGGGGGGGTGGGGGGGAGGCGGGGGCGCACGGGGCGGCGGGTATAGGCGCAGGGTGAATGGTACCGCCGGATGGGCGGATGGATGGAGTGATGGATGGACGCACGGACAGGTGCGGGCGCGGGCGGATGGGGGCTCTAGGGGCGCACCCTCACGCTGCGGCACACGCTGCCCGGCCCGAGCACTGCGGCCCCGGGGCTCTGCAGTCACTGCAGGGACAGGAGCGCTGCCAGGCTGATAGGGGAAACAGCAGGCAGGGTGCCTGCAGAGCTGCCTCCTCTCAGAGCTTGCCAATGGGAGGATGCGCTGCCTCTCTAGTCAGGCTGGACCGGGCTCTGAGCACCCGATGGAGCTATAGGTGTCCCTGTTCAGTGCAGGGGAGTTGGACTACATGGCCTTTAAGGGTCCCTTCCAATTCAAGTGGGAAGGACCAGAGAAAATAGCACAGAAAAGCTGAGTTGAGTGTCCTTAACCAAATAAAACACATTTGCAATGGGAAGTCCTGCAGTAAGAAGGCTGTACATACACCTCTACCTTGGCGGAGGATGTAGCACTCCAGGGTGTTGAGCAGACCAAATCCAGGCACTGACCCTCCTCAGGTCAGTGGTACCCCTACTACACACATAGAGAGCAGCCAGCTCCAGCTTCCCAGGACACGGGCACGACCACCCATGGCCAAGCACTTGGGGGGGGGGGGAAGTCTGGCATTTCATCCTACATCTGTCATCCACTCCCAGGCTGCTTATGGCCTCAGGGTCTGATTTCTGAGTGGTCCCACATACAGCCAAGAGTTGGACTTGATAATCCTCATTGGTCCCTTCCAACTTGTGCTATCCTGTGATTTTAACGTGGTGACTGGGAAGCAGCAGCTATGAAGGGAGGGGGGCAGCTCACACCCATCACTTTTTCCACATCACTGCCCACATTGTCAGGCCGGTTGCCTGGAGAGAAACAGCACTCTGAGCACTCCAAGCAGAACAGCATGGTGAAGTTGGGAAGTCCCCAAGGTGGCAGTGGGGGCACCAGGAGCTTGTATGCAATTACCAGCTCCAGGAGAGCAGCCTGCCTCCAGCTGCCCACCAGTGGCTACAGCAGCATCAAAAACCCACAAGAGTTCAGTGTTGAATCTTTCAGAAGTTTTATTGAAGCAGACAGCAGGTAACCTCGATACAGACAGTAACACCCCACACCAAGTCAGACACCAGCCCCACCACAGCAGCAGGCATGGTTGTGCTGGCTCCTGACTCGCCACATTTCACCTTTCTCTGCTGGTTGCAAAGCACACAGCTAAAGTCTGACATCGAGATGCATGCAAGTGCTACAGCAGGGAGTCACAGACAGCAAGCTCTTAAATGCCATCTGGAGAAGTATCACTAGGAAACAGCTACATAGGGTTGTGCACGTGCCTCAGAGACAGCAGGGCAGTTAAGGATGAGTGCTGGGACTCACACATGGACAGCAGGCTTCCAGCTGCTGATGAATGCAAATAGAGCCCCTCAGTTCACATGGGCTGAGCTCACTGCACAAGCAGTGGGAACCCGCGCCCGACCTTTGTGGAGGCTTATGTGTCTCCCACCCAACTGCACATCCTTCAGGCATTACTGCTGTGCCTCAGGTAAGGCTCTTTGATTTTAAGTTATCGTGATTTTTAACGCAATTTTTATTTTTCTAAACAAAGTACACAGCTAGATGCTGACTGACACCTTCCTCCTGGCAATCTGCAGATGTCAAACACCAACAACGTTCAGCATCAGGGCAGGGAGCAGTGCAGCACCACGAGGAAGGTGTTTCTCCCAAAAACACTCAAAAGTAAAGACGGGTTTCCAGCAACACCCAGGACAGAAGCAAGCAGCCTCTCCAGGCGTGCACCCCAGCATCAGCCAAAGCAGGCCGAGTTCTTTGTAGTAGTACACACACCCAAAGCAGCAGCCTGAGCCCTCCAGCCAGCAGTCAGCCCCAACCCCTACATTCACCTTGAGTTCACCAAGTCTTTGTGACCGGTTTGAAGGAAGTTTACGACAGCACAGAACACACGAACTACTGCTAACTACTCTACCTTTCACTAACATCCCAACCCCAGTCTTGTCACTTGGGGCAAGAAGCAGCTTCACAACAGCACAGCCTACGGAGAAGGAGTCTACAGAAGTTCAGAACAGATTGAAGTTCGTATTTGCATCACCACAGGAGAGTGGGGAAAAAAAATAGGACTGCAGGAAGTTGATCCATGTTAGATACTAACCATCAAGCTTTGCAGATGACATTTCATGATAAGCATAAAACAATTATGGGAAACACTGTCCCCGATAATTACGTACACCCATAGTGCAACATATGGAGGTCACTGCCTCCGATATAACACTGTGGTAGGCAAAAACTACCTTGTTCTTTACACATTATGGAAGACACTGCTCCCGATAATGTCAGTTAGGTTTCATGATACATAAGGTACTGGAAGTCTGCAGGAAGCTGCCATTTCCAATGGGGCCAATCTGAGGGATGAGTTTGTGTGCAGTGCAGTGGATGGAGTGAGCGCTGCACAGCGAGCCCTGCACAGGGTGCTCTGCCCCTCCGTGGAGCAGTGCCACCACACGAGCACAAGGCTTCCAGAAACAGGGGAGAAGAGGGAGTCCTAAGCCCACAGAGCGGCACAAGACACCTCAGGGAGCCAAAATTTCCAAATTTTGAGTGGCTTTCCAGCATTTCAAGGATCTTTTGGAAGCGCAACCCGGAGACTTGCCACCAGGTTTAAAAATAAAATTTAGGGGGGGCTTGTTTGGATTGTTTTAAATGCAAAGTTCCAGTATCATGTTTGATTGTAATAGCAGATGCTGCTTTATTCAAAAACGACAGTATAACTGTCATAATTATGGAAGGCACTGCTTCCGATAATTATCTTCTATAAAAAAACCCACACACCATTTATAGTGAACGCTGTCACTGATAAATAAATAAACAAATAAATATCTCAGTGTCAAACAAGAGCCATCCTGCAAAATGGCATCAGCCAAACAGAGTTTGGCCAGCAAGAGACTCTGCTTTGCAAAAGGCCCCAGCACAGCAAGGTCTGAAGTGCCAGCCTAGAGCTGGCTCTCAATGACTCTATTCTATGATTCTAATGCTGCAGGACTCGCGGAGGTGCCAGCTAGGAATACAAAAAAGGGGGGCACAACAGTCTTTGGGTTATCTTTCCTGGGTACTGAGGCCTGCCCTTGTAGCAGCAAGCCTCCAAGATGTCATTGGAGCCCTGCTGCTGAGTAAAGGCAGGCCGGGCACTTCAGAGCTTGCTGATAACCCAGCACTTAGAGGCTGCTGTTTTTATTCTTCAACCATAGGTTTGTGCCTGCAGCTCACTGGCCAGAGAAGAGATCCTTACTGTGTTAGAGGAATCCATTCCCTGCCCTGTCGCTACATTTAGGAGGCCAACAACGAAAAGATTTTGGATAGACACAGTACCTTCCCACTCAAGGTACTGGTTCAGGATTCCCTTGTGCTGTTAGCTCTCAAGTACACCAGAGAGCAAACCCCACAAGCAGTAGCAGGTAATAAGTTTGGATTGTGGTTAGACAGCAGCCTGGTCAGATTTCATCACAATTTTAGTACCTGCTTTAGAACTGCCTCCTATGAATTTATGTAAGGTGAGATTTAAATTTTATGCTCAACTTTGGTCAAGAAAAGATTTGTTACAAAAAAAAAAAAAAAAAAACCAAAAGCCCTCTACAGAAAAATAATGCTGTGGTAGGGAGTGGGTTTCCCTAACCTTGTACCTTAACCAGGTGTTTGCAGTGTGTCTAGAATTCATTGTCAGTATCCCAGATATCACCTCCCAAGGCGTTAGCAGCCCCTTTAATGGTCCACGTTGCTAGGGCCAGCTGCTCCTTCAGCAAGTTCAGATCCACGTTGCTCTTGCTGGTTTTCAACAGCTGCAGATGCTCCACCAGACTCTGCAGAGTGTGGGTGCCTCTGCCGAAGAAGACGTGACGGAAGGGAACATCTTTTGGTGAGAGATACGGTGACAGGAAGTCATACTCCACCTGGAACGAGGTGCAAACTCAGTGTTATACTTTCACCTCCCAGTCTTTTCTTTTCTGACCTGCCCCATCACCAACCCTTCAGCCTCCCATCAGCACCCAGCCCTTCCCAGGGCCAGATCCTGACAGCAAGCACAGAAATCAATCACATTTACACTCAGCACAGTGTCTGCATCTTCCCAGTACAAAGCCCATCCTGGCCAACTCTCACCTCGTAAGGAAAGGCAAGCCAAGCCAGCTACAGACACTTACCTTCATGATCCTGTCATTCAGGGCTCTGCGGATGACCTTGTTCTCCCTGTCACTGTTTGCAATGTCTCTTCTCAGTGCATCTGCAGCTCGCTGGAAGTCACCACGGGCAAAAAACAGCCAGTCCAAGGTCAACCCCAGCTCCTGCGAGGGAGGAGCTGTTAGCAAACCTGATTTTCTTCTTTTGCAGCTCTCTTACCAAGAATTTTTTTTTTTTTTTTGCCAGTTTAATTAAGTAGCAGAGCAAGTTCCTGGCAGTCTTTTCTGAGGTCACTGAGCACAGCTTATGCCTCTCCCCACCCACAGCTTCTTGTACTGTTTCACCAGAGGTGCAAACGAGATGCAAAGCTGCACTGCGGATGACGTCCAGGCTAGAAACCATAGCACCCACATCCACTTCCTCCACCACAGTCACATCAGATAGATCTGTCTGCCACAGCTACACTGCCTGTACTGCTCTTTAAGGAACATCAACTCAGACCACATCTTGTAACACTTGTATCTAGATGAGGAAGATGTCCACCCAATTGCAGCTAACAGTCCTGGAGTACTGTTAACACCTGGCCTCAGAACAGCCTTCAGGGATTCAGTGCACTCAGCGTCCTTCTTACCTGCACATCCTTAACGTAAGGCAAGAACTTCTCCTGGTATGCCAGTAATTCTTCACCGTATCTCCCAAAGTCCAGGAAGAGCTCGTGATCATGGGTCAGCCTGAGAGCTACTTGTCCAGCTACTTCTGCAGCAGCACGCAAAAGAGCATCCAGATTGTCAATTTTCCTCAGGTTCTCCAGTGTGTCATCCTTAGTATTCAGGAAATAATATTCCTCATTTTTCTAGAAGAAGGAAGACATTGAAGTTAGACAGAAGTGCTTCGCCAGCTGGAAGTATTCTCCCAGTACATTCCATCTCCTCGTGCCTCTAAGTAGTGAGATTCGGGTTGGAAAAACTTCAAAGTGCAGGAGAGGCAATAGACCTTCTACATTTAGTCCCCTCACAGCTTCCAGAAATCAGCAAGATGCTCTGTTAGTTCATTAGCCCATTCCCCCAGATTTCCCTGCGAAGTTGTGAGCAGGCAAACTCCAGCACATATTTTGGTACCTGCTGACAGTACTCTCCAACCCATCTGGGCAGAATAACATTAGATTTTTTGGAGGAAGTCTGACACTAGCAACATCCAAATGCTCATGAGCCAAGGAAGCTGTTACCATAAAGGCTCCCAGTTCTACAGCTGGCTGCCTGGCTAAGGCCATTTTTGCAGCAACAAGCTAAGAGCAGATCTGGATAGTCCGTGTTAATGCTTGCTCTGGCCAGCTGTACAGCTTCCCCAAAGCACTTTGCTTGCTGAACAGCAGGCTATAGTGCATCTTCCACTGAAGTAGCAGAAGCTTGACATCTTTTCAGTGTTTTTCATTTCTGCATCACTGACCTCTGAACCTCCAGAATAGCGCTGGTCCCCCCTTCCAACAGAACACAAGCATCCTAGGTGCTCAGAGACACACTACAGGCCAATCACATCCACATCCCAGCAGCAGCCTTCAGAACTCGTACTGCCATAGACCCCAGGTTGAGAGGTCACACGTCCTTTCCCAGAGAGCTCCTACATGAACACTAAGCTCAGCACAGCACTCTAGGCTTTGCCATCTTGGAGAGTAATATCCCTATAGCACTTTCCATGGAGTGAATACACCAGGCAGTTAGACAATACTTACATTGTAGAAACCAAAAGACACCACTGGAATTCCTGAGTACGTCAGGAAAGGGAATGCTGCATTATCCAGGCCAAGAGGAACACTGCAAGAGACAGGTATTGGGCCGTTATCAACTGGTTTAGGCATCACAGGAAAAAAAGCTACAAGGCTAGAGCTGAAGCACTGAACCAGCTGGGCTACCCTGTTGAAGCAAGACAGGTTTTGGCAGGGAGTCCCAGCCAAGTACCAAGGACTGCTGGTCACTGCTCTTTGTACAAGGTGGCTCTTGCCCTGCAAAAAGAGCATCTGAACTGCCTACAGGCAGCCTGGGATAGCACTAAGTGGAGCTACTGCTCTGCTGTTCACGCTTGCCTGACCCCACTGCAACAAGTAAAGCCTGCTCCAGGCAGTGGCATGACATTCCAGCACAAAGAGCAGAAGTTGTTCAGTTTGTTCTACAGAAATCCACTTTCCCAAACAGCAGGATGGCTATACTTACACTGCTTTTACCCAGTCCGAGCCAACTCTGTCCAAGAGACTTCTTGATCCTTGTGCTGGATCCTTCACCTGCAGAGAGATGACAGTCACTGAACCTGTTCTGATCTCTGTTTAAGTTGCTGTATCTGCCCCAGAACTTGCATAGTTATGCCTGTTTTCTTCCATACAAGCACACCCTATGCAGGACAGGCACTCACCTCCCACCAAACAGTGATATTTACTGATTTCACATTGGAAATAAGTAAACTGCAATTCCCAGAGCCCAGCTAACAGGGCCCTCCAGAATATTTCAGCCCCTTTATGTGATGCTTCTCCTGAAAAGGTGCCAGCTCTGACGAGGAAAATAACCCAGCATAGCTCTGGCTTAAACTGTAAGTCACACCCAACCAAGTTGAGACCCCTCAACTCACCCCCTTCATAACTCTCTCCAGCAGCATGTACAGCAAGGGGCTGGCAGAAATCTTGACATGATTTGCTCCTGAAAAAAAAAAAAAAAAAAAGGGCATTTGACACACTGATAACTACTAGAGCAGCTCAGCCTTGCGACTGAGAAAGATCACTTGATGCAGGTGGTAATCTGTCTATAGCTTGTTGCCAAAGGGTCTTCAAGATACATAGAGCAGAAATTACTGAGACCTAGAAGTGTCTTCTAGCTCAGGCTGCAGCAACCTCCCTGCTTCAGCTCAGCTAGTGATAAATGGAGTCATTCCAGCTTTCAGCCAAACATCCAACACCACCTTTGACACAGTCAGAGCAGAGTTTCCATTTCTGGAGGCTAATCAATGTCTGTCAAACTATTCTAGTCCTACTTGATTTCAAGGGGGGGAAAAAAAAAAAAAAGAGTGGCAAATTACCCAGGACTGCAGAATCCAAGTTGATGTAAGCGAAAGCTTTGGCATGCAGCATGGCAGAGTACCCCTAGAACAAAACAAATACTTAAGACAAGCAGTAATGGTATAACACCAGGGCACTTAAAAAAATAATCAGAAATGACAACTGAGCAGTCATCAAACAGAAGTCTATCAAAGAAACTGTACCTCCAGCCATTCAGTAGCACCCACAGCTCCATAGTCTCCTGCACTCCAGCTAGCAAAGATGATGCTTCGCCTTGGTTTGTAGCCCTCTGCAAAGAGAGAGAGAGAGAGATAGAGATCTCCAGCCTTCCTCACTGGAGATGTAGATCAGCACTCAGGGCCTGTGCTGATCAATCAACTGCTGTTCAGGCAGAACTTAAGCATTCTGGCTGTCACAGAAAAACATGCACACTAATGACAGCAAGCATATCTTTTTTCCAGCCTTCCTCCAAACCATCCATGCTGCAGAACTGTATAGTGAAGCCATGCTCAATGTATTTCCCCTCTTTTCTTCAGCTGCCTGAGCTCGGAATTAATGCTGGGGACAAGAGCACTTGCAATAAGTGCCATCATGCAACCCCCACCCCTCCATATGGTAAACTACTTAAATATTTTTCACCTTCAGGCCTGGCTGTTCAATAGACAGCTCAGCTTTTGAGGTTTGTAGTGCATGCTATACAAGGATATTCTTGCATTCAAGCTGCACCAGATACAAGCAGGTGGTCCCTTGGAAGCAAGTGCTCACTGACAAGTTGTCTGTTGGACCAGAAACAGCCTTTCTGAAACCTTCCTGTTTCCCTACACATTCTCCAAGGATTATTTTGTAACTGGGCTCTCCAGGGTTAACAAACGTAGAGCTAAGCCAGTATCATGCTTTAGTACACAAGTATTTACCACTTTTCACTATGTCTGAGATCACACGGGCAAGTTCCAACAATATAGCAGTTCCAGTGCCAGCTTTAGCCACTCCTGGGCCCCAGGAATCTCTCTGGGCTCCAATCACAACATACCGATCTAAAAAGGAGACATCAAGATTTGAGGTTCAAGCTTCACTTTGCAAGCACTATCAGAGAGTCAGCTTTGAGTTCCTGTGCCAGGAGCTACATACAGAGCCTAACCTCTGTATGAGGTGCATTGCTTTCATTTAGCCTTTCCCTGTAAGCACAGTTCAGTTTTACTCTTAATCCTTAAAGAAAGGCCTTGGTTCTAACTGAAGAAAGCTCCCGTGGAGCCTGAGCCACAATGTAGTTGCTCTTACCTGGTTCTTCAGATCCTTGGATAGCACCAAAGATGTTCAGAATCTTCCTGTCTTTCATGGAATTGTTCACATCTAGTTTCACCATTATCTTGCTCTCCTGCTTTGTTGTCACCTTACAGGAATGGATCCCACCTTTCCAATCGTCAGAGCACGAGACTCCATCCATTTTGCTGAGGAAAGAGACCCCATTTAAACTCATTACCCATCTCTGGTCTCATTTAGTTACATGATATCAGGATAGCTATGTGTTATCATTTACTACCCAGCTATCCTGTCTTTAAGCTACAAGATATGGACACAAGCAACATTTTTCCAGCCAGCCCCAGTAAGTGCTTCCTGCGATACACAGCAGAGACCAGCAGGGAGCTCTCTGGGCTCGTAATACCTCAACACCACCCTTAACCCCTGCAACAGACACACCAGCACACAGGCCAGAAGAGACCATTACCTGAACAGGTTGGCTGCTGCACTGCTGGAGATGGTCTGAACAGCAATGTGGGGTAGTCCTGAAGATTCAACTGGTGGAAACTGGGTGTGGTTGAATGAAGGGAAGCCTGGGGTGTAAGGGTCTCCAGTTCCAAGGTGGGCCTGTGAAAAGCAAGAAGTTCCTCAGGACTCAGAAGAGACCAACTACACGAGGGCACAAAGTGCTGCTCGAGCTAGAAGCCTGCATGCAGAAGGACAGCTAAAGTTTGCAACCCATGGGGAAAAAAAAAATCCTCAGGATAACAAACAGGAGAGCCAATTGCATACTCACATGTCCGAATGGAATAAGTGTCTCTGTTATCCCATACTTGAGTGAATCCACGTACATGAGGACTCCAACTGCTCCTGCCTCTTTGGCATTCGCAACCTGAAGGGTAAAACAGCATTAGCTGCACATTTGCACTCGTGGAAGTGCTTCTCAGCTCTGCGTCCATGACACATGCTGGGCAGAGTCCTACAGCCCAGCCTCTCCACAAATGTCCATCTGAAGAGCAGTTCTGGGACAGGCCTAAAACAGGCTTGTGTACAGAAGGAACTTGGATCTTTTATAGACTGCTTGGTGTTACTTCCTACGGAGGGAACATTACAGCAATACATGTGGCAACAGACTGGGAAGGCAGTGCCAACACTTGGTGCAAATCAAGGCTCAGTAAGGAGCCAAGTGAGACACTGCAGCAGCAAGAGGTGCTCTGGAGACAAGACTGTTCTGCTTCTAACAGCCCTATTATTGCTACATCTAGCAATACCAGCCCACATTGCACCCTGCCATCCCCCAAACTGCCTCTCTCCCTGCTTTTCCCAAATGCTTGGCCATCTCAGTCAGGCTGCCAGAGGCTAAGAACACTGGCCCCATAAATGGTAACCAGCTCCTTTCAATCTGTGTCCAGACCTGCACGTGGAAGCTTGGAGAAAACAAGCAAGACCAGACCTGCTGAACAAGTTTACCTATGAGTTCTAGAAACTTGAACTGAGGTAGAGAGGTGTGACTAAAAAACAAAAGACCATGTTTGGCCAGGCTTCGGGGCACACAGTGCTTACCTTCTCAGCAAGTGTTATTTTTCCAGCTCTGACAATGACTATGGTTCCATTCAGTGGAGTCACTGACTTCTGTATCGTCTCAATATCTTTTTTCAGTCCATAGTTCACATAGACAGGTTTGCCCTAGAACAGAAACACTGTTATAAACACAGTAGTCCTATACTGGTAAGACACTTGAAGCAGCCTACAAAGTTATGGAGCCTGGAACAAATCAGTCTGCCATTAACAAAAGGCAGTTCAACCTCAGCAATGTAAGCTCTGATCACATGCAACATGCCTGCTGGAGCAGAATCTCTATCAAAGCTCTTGGACTGGAAGAGAAATTTAAACTCTATCTGGCTGAAGGAAGAAAACTGTGTGCCCACTCCTCACCCCTCCCCACCAGTTCTCTAACTGGGGAGACCTTTATAGCTTGCCTCAGAATAGCACTATATTTCAGACATCACCATCTGACAAGCATGCACAAATCCCACAATTTTCCTGAAATCACTTACAGAAACAGAGCCACTCTCACTGTATGCCACGTATGCATCTGGAGTCTCCAAGGTCTCCTCGCTATCATCGATCAAAACAGACACTTTGTTCTTGGTGCTGTTAAAAGTTATGAGACAGTGTTACATTCTTTCACACACTGAATATTTAGATATCTCATATATTTCTGTAGTTCTTGTAATACTAAGTCAATCAAAGCCTGAAACAGGAAGACTCACCCCAGTACCTCCCCAAAACAATTTCTGGGATTGTTCAGATACATCAACGAAGGCTAAATTCTACAACAAGGAACAGTTTGTGCTTCTAAATCTCTTACTGGTTCCTTCAGAAGAGCACACTGAATTCCCTTCACATGAAGGGGCAGGAAGCCTTGTGGATGTGAGCTGTCAGCCAACACAATGGCTTGCCTAGATAAGGTCTGCTTTAGAGAGGTGTAACTGGCTCACAATTTCAGCAGAAATTCTGTGGTTACTCAGATCCACGCTACGTATAAGAAAGAGATCTGCATTTCTTTGTTAACATACCTGCCTCTGACTTGCAACTTAACATAGTGTTCATCATTCCACACTTTATCCAAGGAGAAGCTGTTGAATTGGTCATGAATGTAAGTGGCCATGTTCGTATCTTCAGTCTCACCAGCCTCAAAGGAGTCCAATCCTGCCCTTTGCCTGCAGGTAACATATACATGGCTTAGGCCACAGCACCGGGTTGCACTAAAGCACCCCAGTCTACACACCCAAGTCAGATGGGTTAATTAAAGCCCACATGCCTCCCTGCACCATTAACACCTTTGTTCTCTCCCATAGCTTTAAATTATGCTTTCTGGAACCATTACCTCAACCTGTTTTCAAGGTGCTTGGCTGACAGCTTATCTGACAACATGGATTTTAGTTGAGGCCAGTAAATGACAGGTGGTCCCTGAATCTCTTCTTCCACAGTTTCATCACCATCCACTAGGTAAGATGCAGTAGGAGTTATCTCACACCTGCCACTTCCATCTTGACACCTGGCAGCCAGCTGCACTCGTCCACGGTAACTCAAGTAGCCAATGAGAAACCCTGCAGAGAATATAAATTCCTTTGTGTGTCAGAAAGACAACCGTACCAGCTCCATATCATACAGCGTGCTCACAGCAGTGTGACAGTTAAGATGCATCTCTGTTCTCACACTATTTTTTAACAAGCTGGCTTACCCAGGGATACACAGGAATAGCATCCTGACATTTTGCTTGAGTTGGCACGTTTTAAAGTACAGATGCGATCTTGTGTTTGGCAGAGTCCCCCCAGCACCACTCAGAGAGCAGAATGTTTACTTTAGGTTGGCAGCAGAGTTAAATCCTTTTGAAAGATCAGCATCAAGCACCCGATGTATTCATCCACATCTCTAGAGAAGCATTAGGAGCTGATCAAGGGAAAACCAGAACCCTTGCCACAGTCTGTTCTTCAGTTAAGCCACAGTCTCACTGTCAAGCTTCACACTTTTTGGTTTCAAATTTAAATTACAAGTCTGAGCTAAGTATTCTAAAGAGCGAGTGAAAAGAAACCGCAGCCTGGATTGAGGCTCTTTAATCACCCCCCCAAAACACCACAAATTCTAATGTTAATGGCCTTGGAGAGGTTCAGTACTACAGTCCACTTTTTGCAGTTGCTTCCCACCCTCCCTTACCGATCAAAAGGAGGAGAACAGCTGCAATGACTAGGAAGCAGAGTTTCTTGCCATTTCTCTGTGGCTGAGCCATACTGTCATGCACGTGCTCTGGCCTTTCAATATCCACTCCTTCCTCATCATCAGCAGACAGCTTCATCTCCACGTGGCTGTTGTCTCCATCCGTTTGCCTGGCAATGCTGAAACGTGTGTACGACATCGGCTCGGCACTGAACTGTTGAAAGACAGTCACATCATGGAAAAGAGTTTGCTACACCAGCCTACAGGAACCTGCACCCATGTTCAAACTAAAGCCAGGTCTCCCACCTGAAATTATGCTAGCACAGCCCAAGCACTGGCTGTCAGTAAGTCACGCTGGCTTCTCTGAACAGATACAGCCAGACTAACATCCACACAGGGTCTGATTCTAGCTTGGACTCTGTTACAGATACAACACAGAAGACAGCACTGACATTTCCCATGTGACCCCATGGCAATGGCTGGCAGAATCTCTTGGTCTTAATCAGCAATGCACTGCTCTGACCTGAAAGTGTGCAACCTGCAGAGAACGGAACTTTGATCCGAACAGAAGAAAGGGAAGACAACCCCTCTACAGCTGTGCCTTTGAGCCACGTTCACTTTGACGCAAGTAGTTTCATCCTGGGTCTGTATAATCTTACATTAAACTGCCTCAGGCTGTTCTTAAACTTTTGGTGAATATTATAAGGGAGCTACTGAAAAGAGATATCCATGGGAATCATGGAACGGTTTGGGTTGGAAGGGACCTTTTAGACCATCCAGTTCCAACCCCCTGCCTTGGGGAGCTCTGTTGGCTCACATCACTCTTTCCACCCACCAGAACCTTCAAGTCCTTCTCTGCAGGGTCACTCTCGAGTTCTTCTCCCAGTCCATACATACATCTAGGACTGTACCTTGCACTTGGACCTGCTGAATCTCATTAGGTTCTCAAAGGTTCACTTCACAAGCGTGTCCATGTTCCTGAAGTCTCCATGTCACAAAGGCTGAACTTACAGTAGAATTCAGCTTCCCCTCTCCATTTACCCTCCCAAAGTAACATAACAGAACACAGTTGTCCTGACAGGAATATAATCAGCTTCCTCAGCAATACTTCCTCCTGGGACATTGTTCAAAGCTCACCCCCCTTTCTTATCTCCTTTTTTCAGCTTCCTGAAAGACCCAGGACACCAGAGCAGTTAATGATAACCCCACCATACAGAGCAGCTCACACCACCTTATCACAGCCAGTTAGCTACGGGGAAGCCGGTCTCACAACTCACACAGGAGCACCAACACTACCTATCTCTTGATAAACAGCACAGGGGTGGAATGCCTTACCAAGTTAGACAATGCTGCTCTGGCATGATCCATCGCCTTCCGGAGGAGTACCCACCAACTTGACCGAAGGCCTAGAAATTCAGAGCACAACAAATCAACTCTGGCTGTTCCCCTGCCACCACAAAAGATGCCCAAGATCCAAGTCGATAGTAGAATACACATGCATACTTCTATCCATGCCACAGTGTTGATTAACTGACAAGAAACTTGCCCATTAACCCTGAGCGCAACCAGCAAGATCACGTATTTATAACAACTCTTTTCATGGAGCCCCAATGGCAGCAGGGAGCGCAGCTCAAAAGTCTTGTCTATTGCAGGACCACCTCCACTTAGGAAGGGGTCACAGGAGGTAGTGCTGTGACAGCAGACACCACACATCTCAGTCTATCAGGGCCTGGCTGAATAGCAGACGGAGATGAGCATCTGGCTGGCAGCAGTGGTGGCACAGCACCCTGTACCAAAGCAGCACAAGTTCTCAGCCCCTAGGAGCACTTCTAACAGGAAGATGTCTCCTAGGTGACCGGGTTCTTCCCAGTGGTATAAAGGCAACCTCTGCTTCAATCAGCCGAGAGCAGCCACCCAAAACCACGGTTACTTTCATAGCCTGGATTTTTCTACACGGTAAGTGCTGCAACCAGAATTGCTTTGGTTCATCTTCCTCGGTGCTTCAGCACTCCTCCCTTGGACAGCTGTGGGCAGAAGCTCCGTGCAGTACTGACTGGACAGCGTGGGTCGGGACCACCAGCTCACGCAGTGCCCTGAAGCAGCGCTGCGAGAAGCCGCTTCGGGCTGATCCCTACGGGCAGGGCATTGGAACCGGTCTTTAGGCACACATAGATTACCTTTACACCTGCGAGCCGCGCAACGCAAGCCGACTGCTTTATGTAGAGAAGATCAAAGGTTAATAATAACGGCCAGAACTCGTTTCACCCTTCGCTTAGAGCCGGGGCACGAGCGGGCGGAGCTGCTAGCAGCTGGCAGGGGCTGCAGGCGACAGCCAGAGGACGGGACTCCCCACGGAGAAGCGTGTCCGTGGGGAGGGCCGGGACTCGCAGCACAGCACCCGCAGCCGGGGAAGCACGAGGGGCGCAATGGCGCGGGGACGCCGCGCGCTGCCGGCATGACTCAACCGCCTCGCAGCGCTCATAGCAAAACCCGCAGAGACAATGAGCAGAAAGCGGGCCCCGCGTTCCGGGAAAGGATGGCAAAGGTGGGGAAAGCAAAAACCGCTCTGCACCCCCAAAATACAGCAGGGGGAAAAATAAGGAAAAAAAAAAATTAAAAAGGGGAAGAAAAAAAAAAAAAAAAAAAAAAAAAAGGTTAGATGCAGCAAGGAGAAAGGCGGGCGGTGCCGGGGCACGGCTCGGCTGGGGGCCGCGCGATAAGGCCGTGCCGATATGCCGCCCGCTGCGGGCACGTCGCCCTGCGAGCACCTCAAGGTCAGCGCAGCCGCGTGTGTGCGTGCGTGCGGCCCCCGCCCCCAGCCCGCCGCAGGCCGCCCCGTGCTCAGCCCCGCACCTTAGCGCGGCTCAGCGCGGCCCGGCTCTCTCGCTCGCCCCGCTCCTCCCTCCCACCCAGCCCGGCCCGCGCCCCGCCGCTCGCTCACCCGCCCGCCGCTCCCGCACCTCCGCCGCCCCCTCCGCTCGCCGCTCAGCGGCACGACTGCAGCTCCCTGCGCCCTCCGCGCCGATCATTCTGGGCAGGCCCCGCCCCGCCCCAAAGTCCCGCTCCAATCAGAGTAAGAGCCAATCAGCTCTCCCGACGCGCAGCCGTCAGACGGCCCCGCTCCGCCTTCGTGCGTCGGCAGCCGACTTGGTCGCTCGGCGGCGGGGTCGGGAAGGAGCGGCGCGCGTTTGTTTTCCATTTCCTCCCCATCACCGCTGCTCCCACAGCATGTAATGGGACATCAGTAGGAAGGTTCAACCTCTGCTGCCGCGGTTCGACGGCACAGCACAGGAGGCTGACGTTCGGAGCAGCCCTGATACTTGTCTCCCTGGCTGGTTTATCCCCTTGGGGAGCACCAGGCACGGACCTTCAGACCTGTGTGTGTGCGGGGCTGCGTTTCTGGATGTGAATGAACACAGGCGGCCTTCCACACGGGGCTACCTGGTATTGCCGTGCCACTGCGATGGCACCGTGCTGTGCTGACAGGAGCACAGCAGGACGGCTCCGAGTGCTCTGCACAGCTCTGAGCAGCCAGCCCTCACCCCAGCCATCACCCCAGCCCTCACCCCAGCCTTCATCCCAGCCCTCGCACCAGCCCTTGTCTCAGCCCTCCCTGAGCCAGCCTCTGAAAGAGGGTGGGAGCAGAGTTGTGTGGTTCTAAGGAGAAGTACAGCGTAGCAGCATAAAGGTGAAAGTAGTAAATGATGTATGGAGTGTATTTATGGAACCCATAAAGCATCCCTGACTTGGCTAAGCCTATCCCCAGCTGGCAGTGCAGTGCCAGGCTGGGGCTCAGAGGGTGGTGAAGGCAATAACTGTGGGTAATGAAGATCTGCAGCAAACAAAGGCAGTGCAAACAGAGCTTCAGGAAAGCACGTCCTGGGGAAAGCTCAAGCTGCTGATGGGGAGCAACAGGAGAGCTGCAGTGCCCTGTAGCGTCCCGAGGGGCTGCTGTGCTTGGTGGGGTCCCTCCATCGCAGAGCCTCTGAGCACTGCCCATGGTCATGGGAGACCCCACAGCCTCCTCTGCCTTCTCCATGCTCGGGTGTGAGTGAAGGTCACTGCTCCCAGCTCCTGCCCATCACTCAGAGCCGTGCCAGATCTGCATTCCGCGTCAAGGTTTTGCTGTGCACAAGCTCTGCAGCGCTCTGCTCATTTTTCCCTTGCTCGTTAAAGCTGGTAGGGATGGATTATTGCCTCAAATCCGCTCCTGCAAAAGAAAGATGGGAGCAGAAAGTTGGTCCTTTGGCAGAACACATGATTGCAAAGAGGATTATGTTTTGTAAAAAGAAATACATTCCTATGCTGATAAAGGGGGGGATTAGCCAGGTCAGAAACTCGATGCGGCTGTCGGGAGAGCGGCCTCCTGTATATCAGCAGCTGGGAGCACTGGTGGGATGTGCCAGGGAGCAGCTCTGAGCAGCTGTGGCCCCAGCTCTGGCTTTGGAGCTCAGGCTTCTGGCAGAGCTGGGTGCTGCAGCTGTGCCACCGCTGGACATGGGTGGGCATTGCCCTCCTTGGTGCCCTGGGCAGCCAGCAGTGCGGGAGGGTGCAGAAAGGGGATGGATGGATCCTCTGGGCATTTAGAACAAGAGGTGATGGTCTTAACTTTTGCCAGGGGAGGTTCAGGTTGGATATAAGGAAATGTTTATTCTCATACAGAGCAGTGGTGCACTGGCACAGCTGCCCAGGGAGGTGTTGGGGTCATCGTCCCTGGAGGTGTTCAAGAACAGTGAAGATGTGGCACTTCAGGACATGCTACCATGGGAATGGGTCAACAGTTGGACTAAATGATCTTAGTGGTCATTTCCAACCCTAATGATGCTGTGATGCTGTGATTGCACGAAGGCCTGCTGAGAAAAAGGTGTTTTCCTTCTGCTTTGTTCCAGGCAAGCCTATGTGCAACCCATTAAAACCACACAACGTCTCAGTTCCCTGTTTGTAAAACCTACAACAGGGCTTTCCAGTCCATTCCCTGGCAGTGCTGCTGCGTTCAGCACTCAATACACTGTACATACACCAACACAGCTTTGGGAGATGTCAGAGGATGCTGAAAAGCAGTCACAGCTTTCTGTCTCTCCATCAGCTGCTGTCTCTATTTCAGAGCTGTTGCCATGCACTGTGCTATGCCAGCTCCCCTCCAGCTCTCCACAACACATGCTCACCACAGGTGTTTTCTGTTCTCTCTCACAGTATCTTAGGGCGTGTGCTCAGCAGTTCCCCATTTCCACACCTGTTAGGAAAAGAAATTAAACGAACTCTTCAGAAACAGATATTTTTGCACCACAGCTAGCATTGGCAGTGCAGTACCCCAAAAGGTTGTGTTCTTCAGATGCAGCCTGGTGCCTGAAAGCACTTCAACCCCTTTTACATTGCGTTTGCTGCAGGCTGGAAGTCCTGGTGCCAGCTTCTATCGAGGCATTCCTCCTCATAGCAACTTGACCCTCACGTTTTTAGATCACAGAATCATAGAATCACAGCATGTTAGGCTGGAAAGGACCTTAAAGTTCACCCAGTCCCAACACTCTGCCTCCCACCAGCTTAGTTTGCCCAGGGCCCTCCCAACCTGGCCTTGGGCACCTCCAGGGATGGGGCACCCACGGCTCTCTGGGCTGCAGTGCCAGTTCCTCACTGCCCTCTGAACAGATGTTTGTTTCTGTGTTCTCTGAGCTCCTGAGGGGCTCATGCGTCCCCTGACTTGGGCTCAAGTGACCCTCTGTTCCTTCATTCGTCAGCCCCATGGTGTGACTGCGTCCTTCATGTTGAAACATGAGAACAGACAGAGCAAAAATACAGTTTCACTTCTGTTTTATGGAGTGGCTGACACTTGAGTGACCAGCAACGCTTTGTAAGTTTTGATGATTAGTTAAAAACAGAGGGAAAACAAAAGCCCAGAGAGAAACTGCAAAGGAAAACACGCAGCCAGGAAAAAGCCCTGGAGGGAGTGGAGGCATGGCAGGTAGCTGCCGTCTTCCCTTTGAGATAATCCTTGTCCTCGTGTCCTTCCTTGGGAAGCACCTGGATTCTGCCCTGCTCCTTGTCCTCAGCTGGCCCGAGGAGCTGCAGAGATGAGGGGAGGCTCTGGCCAAGGACACTGTGCACTGGAATTCACACAAACATGCAGACCTCATCTCACGGACCTCTGTCTTCCCACGAGACCCCACACCCTCCAGCAGCTGCACCAGGAGGGAAGCAGGGATGGAAGGTTCTTCCTACAGCAGCACTTCTTGTTGGAGGCCAGCACAGAGGGTCAGGGGAGAGGCTCCAGCCTGTACCATGTCCCAGCAGGGTTAAAGCAACCTGGATCTTTCACCTGGGCTTCCTTGCTTGCAAACATTGGTTTTTTGCTGGGACATTAACTGTCTACAGCCCTGGGGATCCCTCTGTGCTCCTTGCACAGTGGGAGTGACCCTGCATGCAGGGAGGATGGGGGCTGTTGTCTGTGCTCAGGGCACACACGGAGATGGAGCCACTGGCAAAGACCAAGGCCTGGGAGATGTTCCCTGCTTTGGGATCTGGGAAGCTGTGGTGACTTGGTGGCAGCACACCTTGCCCACATGGCTCAGGACAGCCAAGACAAACAGCTGTCCTTGTGCTCCAACCAAACCGTTCGCCGTGCTGCTCCCAGGCACCAGTTATGCCTTTTGGCAAGATGCTGGCACTTCCCAAGGGGATGGCAGCAGCACTAGAACAAATCTCCAGCGTGCACAGGGCTGATACTGCTTTCACCAACAGACAGCACTCAGTGGGCAGCAGGGCTGGCAAGAGATGGGGCAGGAGCCGTTGGCAATCCAGAGCCCTCTGTGCTGTGGGATCAGTGTGGTTACAGTCTCACTATCTGTGGGGCTGCACCTGGCCCCGATAGCAGCTCAGCCCATTGAGCCTGGCTGTACTTATCTACTGCCTGGGAGTGCCTGAGCCAGGCAGCCGCAGGGGGCTGTGGGGCTGGGGACCGGCACACAAATAAGCTCAGGATGTAAGCATAATAGGCACAGAAGCAGGGGGACGCATCAAAGCAGCTGTGTTCTTGAGTTCTGCATGTTTGATCGCACCCCTGGGCCTGGCTCCTGCTGCTCTGGGGGCTGGAGGTGGGAAGCGGAAAGGGAAAAGGCAACGAGGAGAAGGCGGGCATGGGGCTGGGACACAGCCCAGAGGGTCCTCAGCCCCACATCGTGAGACCCTCATCAGTTCCCTCGGTCCCTCTTTGTTCTGTTCCTCGCTCATCTGTATCTCAAGTGCAAAACACTGCCTCTCTTTCCTGATTCTCTGGGCAGGCGTCTTAGACACCTTTCCAAAGTGCTTTCTTCTCACAGGCATTTCCCCTGGATCAGCTGTTTTCTGAATCTGGGAGCTTTTGGAGGTTTCCTCTGCAGACTTTGTGGTTTGAGTCCCTTCAAACCAGGGATGCCACCTATGATCTGTAGTGCTTCCATGAAGCGTTCTATGTGGCGTTGGAGTGTGGGACACGGGGATGGGTCACCCACAGCAACCAGCTCCCACCTGCCCCCGTGTCCCTGTATAGGAAGGGGCAAAAGTCCCTCTCTGCTCACCCTAAAAGGGCCTGGGAAGAGACTGGAAAGGCTGGGAGTTTCCCCCTGATTTGCTCTGTGGTGCACACAGTGCTGCGTGGCGATAAGCAGCAGCCAGAGCTGCTCAGGGGGAACCACCCTCCCAGATAAGGGAGCGTGCTGGCTTTTAGATTAGACTTGACCACCTGTATCTGTGGTTTGGGGGTTTTGAAATGAATTTCTTGGCAGAAGAGGAGCCCAAATTGGGGAAATAAAAACAACAAAGGAGAAGGCAGCATCTTGTCACGCTCTGCAGGGGAAAGTCGTCCCCAGGAGCAGAGTGATGGCTCTGCACCTGGAGCTGCTGCAGCCCAAGTGCAGCTGGGCCAGGCTGGTGCCTTCCCTGCAGCTCTGTGCAGATTTTTGGCCCTGGTGGCTTTCCTGCTGCTGAAGCCATTGTTAGGGTAATTAACCGAGCAGGTGTGGGCAGCCCTTCGAAACCAGAAGTGTTGCTTTGTGCTGGGAGCCTGTTGGAAAGCCTCACTGCAAGGCAGATTAATCTCTCTGAGCAATACCTGGAAGCAAAGTAAAGAAGGGGTTTTAACTGGGGTGGGATTAGCAGGGAGAAGGGGAACTCTTTGCCTTCTTGCTGACTGCCTGTTATTGACAGCTGCAAAACCCGCCCTGGCTGGCAGCCTACCTGCTGCGGCGTGCCGGAGCGTGGCCAAGCAATGGCGCTTAGTGCACGTTTGTTGCAGATACATCTGTGACTTCATTCACAACAACCTGGTGCCTCCAAGCAGGGGTCCTGCAGCAGT